ATAAATAAATAAATAAATAAATATTCATGAGATGAGAGAAAGGTAAACACTCTCCCCAGATCTGCAGCTGAGACACGTCACTAAGAAGCAATTCAGTTCCCAAATCTTTGTAATGTTTTAGATTACAGGGTAATAATTTAATACTCACTCTACTCTGTGATTTCCTTTACTGTTATAAGCAAGACTAGGAGATTGTAGTGTTTTGACATGTTTTTAAAGGTTATGGAAAAATCCTAATTCATTTTTTTTATTTATAAAATATTTTTCAAGATAAAGTGTTCACTGGATTTCACTCACGAAGTTTAGTTTTACATTTTCTGACAGTGATGGGCACACAAATAAATAAAAACAGTCCCCACTTTATATTTATTCTGACATTACTGTGTTGCTCTAGTGTGATTGCTGTTTGCCTCTCTAGGACAAGCCTTTCGATGGAGGTGATCACGGCCATGCATTCAACTGTAAACCTTGTCAGTGCCACGGCCACGCGGGAAGCTGCCAGTCCAACAGCTCCGTGGACCCCTTTCCACTGGGGCACCACAGAGGGCCAGGCGGGGTCTGTGAGGACGGCCAGCATCACACCACAGGTAACCTGCAGGCAGCTGACCCAGCCTGTGGGGCTGAGGGCGGCCACTTCCAAACCCTCGCTGCTCTAGGTTATCGTACTGGTACCTTCCTAAGAAATATGATTTCCTGCAGCTAAGTTTGTAAAGCAAAGCTGTTTCATGAAGCACTCCTCACTCAGAAATAGTCTATTGTTGTCGTCCTGGGCTTATACTATTTGAGCAAACTGTAATTTTCGAAAACTTATTCGTGCTGTTTGAATCCATCCTTACAGGAAATTGCCCATGACCTTTTGCATTCCTGTCTCCCCTGTGTGTGGGTTCTCATGTGGACTTGATATGAAACCGATAAGCTTTTAAATTTTTATTTTTATTGTTTTGCTTTGGTTTTATGTTTGTTTTTGAGACAGAATCTCGCTTTATGGTCCCAGTTGGCCTGGAATTCATTATGTAGACCAGATTGGCCTCAATTTAATAGGAATTCACCTGCCTCTGCCTCCTCAGTGCTGGGATTAAAGGAATGTACCATCACACTCCAGCCTTACAAATCTTTTAAAAAATATTTTATTATTTTTTATTTTATTTTATGTGTATGCGTGTATTGGCTGCATGTAGGTAAGTGCACCCGTGTCACGCAGTGCCTGCAGAGGACAGAAGAGGCTGTTGGATCCCCTGGAACTGGAGTTACGGACAGTTGTTAGCTGCCATGTGGGTGCTGGGATTTGAACCCAGGTCTTCTGCAAGAACAGCCAGTGTTCTTAACCACTGAGCCTTCTCTCCAGCCCCACAAGATTATAAATACATGGACTGGTAAGATGGCGCAGCAGGTAAAAGGGCTTGCTGCCAAGCCTGACTTGAGTTCAAGTCCCAGAACCCATATGGTGGCGAGAGAACCAACTCCTAGAAGTTCTCCTCTGACATCCATGTGTGCACAGTGGTACAAACATGTCCATGTTACACATACGTGCAGGCGCGCGCACACACACACACACACACACACACACACACACTAAATAAAAAATTAAGAGATTATAAACATAGAAGATGATAAATATTCTCTATGACTGCAGCATTTCGAGGAGTCATTATAATTACTGTTTTCTGAACAGTATCTTGTCAAAGCAGAAACAGACATCATCAGTATTTGTAAAATATAATGTGATTCTCATGGGTCTGAGAGTGCTACTCTAAACCATGAATGGACAAATTAGGTAATTATTGATGTCCTAAAATATCATAAGAACAGAGGAACTGGTGATGAAGAAGACTGAATTTTTCCATTTCTAAGCTGTTGTACACTGAGCAAGGCAGACTGTCTAAGGAATGATTCTCAAGTTGCTTGGTAGGTCCTGAGACAGGCAGGAACGTCAGAAGCCGATGGGGAGGGAACTCATGTTTCTAGTAGGGAGTGTGAGCAATGGCCCAGGAAGAGAGCGGTGTGACACCTGTGCAGAGCTGGCAGGATGAGCAGCTAGTGGCGGGAAAAAGCACTGGAACAAAGGCAAGAATTAAGTCATACAATTTTCCGTACACCCTGGTGCAGTTTGACTTTATCCTCAGGTCAAAGAGAGGCCAGGCATATCAAAGAAACAATCCATTTTAGAGGTCAGGAATTTGTTAAAAGATTTATTTGATTTTAAATTAATCATCTAAATGTCTGTGTCTGTATGTGGGTATATTCATGTATGTGGGGGAGCACGTGGTGGCCAGAGGTGCTGGATGCCCTGGAGTTGGAGCTATGGGAGGTTGTGAGCCACCCTACTTGGGTAATGGGAACTGGGTTACTCCAGAAGAGTACTCCCTGCTCTTAATCTCTGAGCCATTCTCTCTAGCCCAAGGAGTGATTTGCAAATCAAATTACTGCCTGCATTAGTAGTTCAGGAGAGAGTGGTGAGATTCATTTCAGATCATGTAGACAGGTGTTTCGGTTGGAAAGTGGGACTGTTCTGTGAGCATGGGGTAGGTGAAGGGAAGAAGGGTCCAGATTGATGCCTACATGTCTAGTTTGCGCAGTAGCTCAGCATGGGCTCTAGCCTCTGAGTTAAGTTAGGAAGTGTCACCTTGGGGAGAGGGTGGCAGGCTCTATTTTGGATATGTTCGTTGTGGGTTTCCAAAACTCATAGGAAAACCTCTTGAGTTAGCAGCTGGGAACCCAGGAATGAAGCCCCTTTGTTCTACAACAGCCTCTCAGCATCCTGCAGAACAGATCAGAATCCTCCAGAGACTTTAATGAAGTTCTAAGCTTATTATAGTTATATTACTTATCTCGATTATTATAGAATCCAGATTCTTCTTACCTCATAGAAAAGCACTGTCTGAGAGAGTCCTGCATCTTGTTCAATACTGTATTCCATAGCGTTTAACGCATGCTCGCAGCATGGTAATCACCTAATCAATATTCATGACATAAAACAGGAGCGTTTATAGAGATACAGGTTTAGGGGCCATCGGTCCAGCCGAATGGATATATTCTAAAAATATTATGAATTTATTAATTTTTTGGTCTTTTTGAGACAGAGCCTCCCTGTAGCCCCAAGCTGGCCTAGAAATCACTATTTAGACCAGGTTGACCTGGATCTCACAGAGATCCATCTGCCTCTACCTCCTGAGTGCTAAGGTTAAAGGTGTGTGCCAACATCTGGAGTGCCTACATTTTAATGGAAAAAGTGACAACTTCAAGTTTTGTTTCAGCTTATTTCAGTGGTCTGGAGTACTGTTCACAGTGACTTTAGAAATTCCTTGTAGAATAGGTTTTTATTATGTACAACGACAAGGGAAAACTTCTAGTTAATAAATTGCAAACCATATGAATTACTTGATACATTGAATATGTCAGGTTCTTCTAATATTTAGCATCACATTTCCTTGGCATTTATAGTGAATTTCTTTTTAATGCTTTAAATGAAAATTAACAAGCATTGTTTTTCTATTTTAATGCTTTAAATGAAAACAAGTATTTTTTAAAAATCACATTAACTGTAGACAACCCATTATATTAAGAGCATTCTCCAATTTTGCAGAATTTGCTTCTGCAAAATTATTTTTTAAATTATTTTTTGTGTATGTGTGTGTGATTGTGTGTATATGTGTGGAGGCCAGAGGTTAACATGAGTGTCCTAGTCACTCTCCTTCTTATTTGAGACAGTATCTCTCACCCAACCTGGGCCATTCTGATTTTGTTAGACTGTCCTTCCAGGGACCTTCTGCCTCTCCCTCCCCAGTACAAGGCCTGAAGGTGTGTCCTTCATGCCACCTTTGCTCGGGTGCCTGGGATAAAGCTCGGTTCCTCAAGCTCACACAGCCAGCTCTTCACCACCTGAGGTATCTATCCCCTCAACTCTGGAAAAAAACATTTGAAATACAGTACACCCGCTTCCTCCTACCTCTGTAACTAACCCCTCCTCTGTTGAAAAAAAAAAAAAAAAGTCTCGTATTTTGCCTTAGAAAAAGTATCTGGTCATAGAAATATAACTTAGAAACTGATTCCCTTACCATGTCCGCTCCTTTGTATAGCTTTAGGAAGTGTGGCATTATATAACAGATGGGAGTTTAATGAAGTAAAGCGTGGTTTGTAACAGGTTCACCATTTCATATGCTTTGGATCACTAAATTGGCAGGTAGAGATGAAAGGTGCATTAAAATGGACGTCCAGAAAATTATAGAATTCCCTCAAAGGAATACAGTCTTTAATTTTGAATTACGCAGCTGATTTTAATGAATCAGGAGTCATGATGCGCAACCTCTCTCTGATGCAGGAGGAAACGGTGAGCTGTGCGAGCCTTGCTTTTTCCAACAAGTTGGTGCGGATCCCTCGGCCATTGATATGTGCAAGCCCTGCAGTTGTGACGGAGCTGGAGTTAGGAACGGCAGCCTCCTCTGTGACCTGGTGAGTTGCTTCAGAATCGCACGTGAAGTACCACTCTCCTCACAGCAGACCAATTTGGAAGCTACACTCACAAGGGAATTCAAGGGTATTTTTTCCAGGAAGTCCTCCAAGCATGTTTGCATGTAAGAAATGGCCACTTGCTATGGGAACCTGTTTAGTGTCCATCCTGAACATGAGCTAAACATTATTCAGGTGGCCCTTGCAGAAAAGACAGACCTGTCAGTTTTAACTGCAAATGTGAAAAGAATTGGAGAAAGGGGATTCTGGAAAGTAACTGGAAAGTCTTAAAATTATTGGTGAAGTAAACTTTTTTTAATGATGAATAAATGAGAACACTTTAACCCAAAAGTCAACACATGATTGTGTTACAGAAATTATTTAGGGGAAGAATCAGGTAGACCTTATGATATCTTCTGCTTCCAAGCTTCTTGTTCCAACCTGTCTAGTAACTTGAAAATGCGATGTGCTTTTACATTTAAAAAATATTTTTATTACCTGTGTTAGACTTCTTGGTATCTGGCTTAGATGAATGCAGACCTTCACTAACTAGGTCCACAAATACTACTTCCAGCCAATGAAAGCTCCTTACTGAAGTGAGATGCCTTCAGCTGTAGTTTTCATCCTCATTGTGCTGGTTAATTTTGGTCAACTTGACACAAACTAGAGTCATCTGGGAAGAGGGAACCTCAATTGAGGAATTTCCTCCATCAGATTGGCCTCTAACCATGTCTGTGAGTCACGTTCTTAATTGTTAATTGAGGTAGGATGGCCCAACCCACTGTGGGCAGGGCCATCCATAGGCAGTTGGGAGCTCTAGGAAAGGTAGCTGAGCTAGCCAGGCCAGGCAAGCCAGTGAGCAGCGTTCCTCTGTGGTCTGTGCTTCCGTTCCTGCCTCCAGGTTCCTGCCTTGTTTAAGCACCTGCCTTCGCTTTCTTCAGTGATGGACCATCAAAGGGGCCATGTAAGCCAAATAAACCATTTCTCCCAAGTTGCTTTTGGTTAGTATTTTTTTTTTTGGTTTTTTTGAAATGTTTTATCACAGTAATATAAAGTAAACTAGAACACTCATATTAACAAATAACATCAAGAAAAATTTGTCTTGAAAAATAAACTCAGTGATTGTATCAATTTTTAATAAATACATGTTATTTTAAATAGTTGAGAATAGAGTGTTAGGTAGATAAACCAAAGCCCAGTTGTAGATGGTTTTATAAGTTACAGTGTAAACATAATAAATGTAAGACAAATATATGTTTGCTGTATAACTTTCATTGTACATTGAACCGAGAGATTTTTCCAAACGAGGTGACGTGCACATGTTTATAATCTGGGCACTTGGAAGGCAGAGGGAGGAGGATTGCCAGTTTGGGGACTCAGTGCTGTATAGCACATTTGAAGGCTGCTGGAGGTACACAATAAGACCTGTCTCAAACAAATTTCTGAAACAAAGGAATGCGGTTGAACAGGATTTCATGTTCCTTATCAATAACACTGAAAACTAAACCAAATTAACAAGGATAATTTGCCTCTGGTCTAATTTTGTGCTATTAAGGGACTGTTTTCCAGTGCTGGGGTTGAACCTAGCATCGTGCTTGGTAAGCCACATCCCCACTTTCATAATGCAGCTTTTAATAGATTTCCTAGCAAAACCTGACTGTATCTTCATATTGGTTATTTTTCATGTCTATCATGGCTTTCTTTTGTTTGTCTTCAAAATTTTAACTCAAGTATTGCTAGATCTTTCCGTGGTCTCTTTGCTGACCACCAATGACCCATATACAAGCTACTGTCACATCACGCCCTGTAGTTTTCTATTATAGTCTTTATTAGACTGATTCTTTTCTTCTCCTCTGCATAGTCAGAACTGTTTCAGTTATGTGGTAGTGCATGACAAATACAAGTAGAAAAAATGGTGAGCAAATGGAATGTTATTTAATCTGAGTACTGAGAGGACTTTTAGACATAATATTTTTATAAGATTTGAGGTCACATTTATAGCAATGGGGTACAGCTATGTAAAGTGTAATATTAAATTCAGGATAATTTGCATTTCTGTCTCTTCAAATGTTGATCATTTTTTGTATTGAAATACTATAGTCTAATAATTTTGAAATATTTCATAAGGTGTTTTAAGCAATAGTTACCCCGTGGTGTATAGAAAACTAATCTGATTCCTACTTTCTTAAGGGGATTTGGTGTCCCTTACTGAACTTGTTCCCATTCCTCCTGAACCATGCCTCTCCCATTTTCTAGTGACTACTGTTATATTCCCTCTGCCTATAAGATGAGCTTATAAATTTTCACAAATGAGGGACAACATGTGATACGTGTTTTTCTGTGTCTGACTTATTTCACTCTGCACAATGACCTCCAGTTCCCCCATGTTACTATACACGACAAGATTCACAGTTTTCTTGATGGTCGAACACTGTTTTCTGTCTGATGTCTAAATGGCACACTTTCATTATCTGCCCATGTGCAGTAATCTTATTTTTAGAAATATGTTATTATTTTATTTTACATGTATGAATGTATTGTCTTCATGTATGCAAGTGCACCTGTGTCGTGCAATACCCACAGAGGTCAGAAGAGGATGCTGGTTCACTTGGAACTGAAGTTACAAATGGTTATTAGCCACCATGTGGGTGCTGGGAATTGAACCCAGGTCCTCTACAAGAGCAGTCAGTGCTCTTAACCACTGAGCCATCTCTCCGGCCCCATGTAATTTTATTTTTGTTTTTGTAACAATGTTTGTCTTATTTTCTTAATGGCTGTACTAATTTGAATTCCTGTGGACATTGTGTAACAATTCATTCTTCTCCATACCCTCACCAGATTGGTTGTTGTTTTAGGATGTCTCTTCTAATCAGGGCAAATTAACAACTAACTGTGGTTTTGCTTTGCCACCATGGTAACAATAATGAATGTTTTTCCACATTCTTCTTGGCTATTTGTCTAATTTTTGGAGAATGATGTATTTCATTAGCTCATGTTTTAATTGGAATATTTGCTATTCAGTCTCTGAATAGCACATGAAGTACCACTCTCCTCACAGCAGACCAACTGGGAAGCTACACTCACAAGGGAATTCAAGGGTATTTTTTCCAGGAAGTCCTCCAAGCATGTTTGCATGTAGGAAATGGCCACTTGCTATGGGACCCTGTTTGGTGTCTATCCTGAACATGAGCTAAACACTATTCTTACATAGTCTGGACACGAACTCCATACTCAATGAACATCCTGCAATATTTCTTCGTGTTCTGCAGGTCATCCTTTGCTTCTGCAGGTGCTTGCTGTGTGGTGTAGAAGGCTTTTGGTTTCATAGAACCCCACTGGTCTCCTTTTCCCATTGGTACCTAGGTCTTTGGGATCATATCTAAAAACCATTGCCTTGTCGAACTTTATCCCCTTTTTGTTTTCAGGTGAGAAATATGTGTGTATACAAGCACACTTCATACAGAATAAAATGTTATGATGAGAAAATCAGATGCTTTTCTCCTAAGATTAGGGACAAGGAAATAATATCCCTGCCTACTTCTGTTCCACACTTTCTTGCTCGGTCTACACAATGTACAATAGGCAAAATGAAATAAAAGGATTTAAATGGGAAAGAGTAATGTAAAATTATCTGTATTCACATGTAGTGTGATCTCACATAGAGAAAGTCCATTGAAAGCTATTAGGCAAAGGGCAATGGCAAAAGTGTAGTCATAGTCATGGGGAAGTAGAAAGCACGTTCTAAACCACCTGGGCCACGAAGGAAACCCTGTCTCAAACAAACAAGTAAGCAAACAGAAACCAACCCAAAACACCAAATGAACAAAAACTGAAAACAAAAACAACCCCCAAACTACTATAACCAATGAATGATCAGATTTTCAAAATAAAAATTAAATACAGAAAAATCAAATATACTTCTATCTGCCAGCAACAATCTAAAAATAAAGTTAAGAAAGTAGCTTCATTTAAAACACTGTTAAAGGGAGAAAATGTTCAGGAACAAATTTAATAGAAGATTGGCAAAGTTTATATTCTGAAAACTAGAAAACATTGTTGAGCTTGATTAAAGAAGACCCAAGTAAATAGAATGGTAGCCAGTGTTCATGGTAAGAAAGCCTGGGAAAAATTATAGTAAAATTCAAACCATTCAAAGTCTTACAGTTGTCCAAACCAGTCATAAAAAGAAATTTCAGAGTTGGAATAGTTGCACTTTCTGATTTCAAAATTTACTGGAGTCTTGCAGTAATCAATGGGATGTGGTAGGGATGGAAGAAAAGAACTATATCACTGTGGATTAGAATTGGGAGTCTATATAAGTAAATCCTTCAACAGAAAACATGTTTTGATGCATGAAAAAAAGTGATTCAATGGAAAAAGAATAGATTTTTGCAATAAATAGTTATTAAATATATTAAATGTCATACATACTATACATATACATACTATACATACATAAATGTCATACATACTATACATATACATACTATACATACATATATTAAATGTCATACATACTATACATATACAAATTAAATATCATCCATAGTATACATACCTATACTAAATACATACCTATATTAAATCCATAGTATATATACATACTAAATACATACCTATAATATATATACTATATATACTATATTAAA